ACCTCTACACTCAGCCCAGTGTTGTTGTTGTTGTTCTTCTTTTCTTTTCTAAAAAATATTTTTAGTTGTAGGTGGACACAATACATTTATTTTTATGCAGTACTGAGGATCGAACCCAGTGCCTCACACATGAGGCAAGTGCTCTTTCTACCACCGAGACACAACCCCCAGCCCTCCAGTGTTCTTTTGATTACTGTTAGTATTGTATATCTTTCTTTATCCCTTCATTTTTAACCCAACACATCTGTAATGTTTTCTATTTATTGCCCTTTTTTGTTTTTCTTTTTGTCTTCCCTCACTTTCTGACTTCTGTTTTTTTTTTTTTTTTAATATTGGGTTGAACCCAGAGGTGCTTAACCACTGAGCTACATCCTCAGCCCTTTTAATTTTTATTTTGAGACAAGATCTCACTAAGTTTCTTAGGGCCTTGCTAAGTTGCTGAGGTTGGTCTCAAGCTTGCAAGCCTTCTGCTTCAGCTTCCCGAGTTGCTGGGATTATAGGCACATGCCACCATGCCTAGCTGCCTTCTCTGGTTTTAACTGAGCATTTAACATAATTTGATTTTTTTTCTCCTCTTAGCATGACAATTCTATATCTTTAACAAAATTTTTTAGTGGTTGCAATATACATTTACAACTAAAGAACACTTTGATGGACCTTTATTTTATTCATTTATTTGTATGTGGTGCTGAGAATCAACCCCAGTGCTTCACACATGCTAGACAAGCACTCTGCCACTGAGCCACAACCCAGCCCCACGTATGAGTACCTTTTAATAGGGTATTCCCTATTATTATTTTGAATGAACTGCTATGTTAGTTCTCTTCAGGACAGAAAAATAAATAAATAAATGATTTGACTTCATATGATTCTCTTCCTTTCTTCATGTGGATCTAAATTCCTAGCCTATGTTATTTTCCTTTTCTCTGGAGAACCTGACAATTTCTTATAAAGCAAATCCTATTGATATTAAATTCCCTCAACTGTTGTTTGTCTGAGAAAGCCTTTATTTTGTCTTCACTTCTGAAGGATAATTTCACAAAACATAGAATCTAGGTTGGTGGATTTTTCTTTCCATGCTTAAAATATTTGATTCATCCTCTTCTTGCTTACGTGATTTATGAAAAGAAGCAGAATATAATTCTTTTATTTATTTATTATTTATATATCACAGCGAAATGCATTACAATTCTTATTTCATATATAGAGCACAATTTTTCATATCTCTGGTTGTATACACAGTATATTCACACCAATTCATGTCTTTATACCTGTACTTTGGATAATAATGATCATTACATTCCACCATGATTAATAATGCCATGCCCCTTCCCCTCCCACCCCTCTGCCCTATCTAGAGTTCTCTATTCCTGCCATGCTCCTGCTCCCTATCCCACTATGAATCAGCCTCCTCGTATCAAAGAAAACATTCGGCATTTGTTTTTTTGGGATTGGCTAACTTCACTTAGCATTATTCACTCGAACTCCATCCATTTACCTGCAAATGCCATGATTTTATTATCTTTTATTGCTGAGTAATATTCCATTGTGTATATATGCCACATTTTTTTAAATCCATTCATCTATTGAAGGGCATCTAGGTTGGTTCCACAGTTTAGCTATTGTGAATTGTGTTGCTATAAACATTGATGTGGCTATGTCCCTGTAGTATGCTGTTTTTAAGTCCTTTGGGTATAGACAGAGGAGAGGGATAGCTGGGTCAAATGGTGGTTCCATTCCCAATTTTCCAAGAAATCTCCATACTGCTTTCCATATTGGCTGCACCAATTTACAGTCCTGACGGATATAATTCTTAACCTTATTTCTCTCTAGGTAAAGTGTTTTATTCCCTGCTGACTTCTTTCAACACATTTTATTTTCCTTTAATTTTCTGCAGTTTAATATGCCCAGGTGTTTTTTGATATTCATTCTGCTTGGAGTTTGGTAAGCTTTTTGACTCTGTGGTTTACTGTTTGTTGATTATTATTATTTCCATATGCCTTCTATTCTTTTTCCTCTTTCTTCTGGTATTCCCATTATGTCGTACCTTTTGTAATCATCCATAGTTCTTGAAATTTCTGTTTTTCCTCTTTGCTTTTCAAGTTGGGAAGCTTCAAATGACATATCTTCACGCTCACAGATTCATTCCTCATCCATTGATTATACTGATGAGCCAAAGACATCCTTCATTCCTGTTATAGTTTTTGATTTCCAACACTTCTTTCTGATTTGTTCTGTTTATTCCTCTCTGCTTACCTTACAGTGTTGGTCATTTTTCCATTACTGTGCTAAAATAACCTGACACAATCAACTTATAAAGGGAAAGGTTTATTTTGGCTCACAGTTTGGAGGTTTCAACCCATGATCAATTTGGTCTCATTTCTTTCAGGTTTGTAGTAAGGCAGAACATCACGGCTGGAAATACACACTGGTGCTTCCAAAGCTGCTTAATGGTGACAGAAAGTGAAGAGATAAAGAAGAGGGGCCAGGGTCCCAATATCCTCTTCAAGGGCATGTCCCCAATAGCCTAACTTCCTTCCACTAGACCCTACCTCCTAAAGGTTCTACCACCTTCTAACAGTGCCTGAAACACATGTGCCTTTGGGGGACATTCAAGATCTGTTTTTGAACACTGTGCACTTTTTTCATTAGAGCCCTTAATATATTAATCACGGTTATTTTAGATTCCTGGTCTGATAATTCCAAAATGTCAGTTGCATTTTCATCTGGCACTGATGTTTGCCTTGTCCTTTGTGTACTTTTTATCTTTCAGCAAGGTTTGTGACTTTTTCATTGGGTCGGTCAGACATGGTGCATTGGGTAAAAATTACTGAGGCAGAAAGACTTTTGTTTATCTGGCTAGGACTAGATTATTTTTACTGTTTGCTGTATTTACATAGAGGGCTCCACTGATGTGGTGGTAAGGTGTATGGATATGTTATACAGCCTAGATGACCAGCTCTCAGTGTTTTAGTAACTAAAACTGTGCCTTGGGCTATGCCTGTAAAAAAATCCTTTTTAGTTGTTGTTGTTTTAAGACAAGAAGGCTAGGAGGGGCTGGAATTGGGAATTTTCATGTTCTCAGTCAGGGGGGTTTTGGTAAGACAGTTTCTATGTAGGCTTTTGTTAAGGAGAATGAAATGCTTTGGGGGAATATTAAAAAATGGCCATTTTCCCCATCCCCTGAAAGAAGGAAGAGAGGTTTTTTTCCCTTGGATTTTTCTTCTGAGAACCTGGTGGGGCTCTCAAAGTAAAACTGAAAAGCATATGGGTATCTTTACAGCTAGGTCTTCAGGAGCTTTTTATCAGTCAAGCTGGTCCACACTCAGTAGTAGTTAGTCAATTACCCTTTAATATTCTTGCCTGACACTGTTGCAATGGTGGGTTCTGGGTGGTTTCTGCTCTAGGCAAACTCTGATTCTCTATATCTGCTTGTCTGTACTATTTACATCAATGTGCCCTCAATTTTCTGACAAATCTGAGGAATTGTTGATTTTCTATTTTTAAGCCTTTTAATAATTTTTTTTTTTTTTTGCTGGGCGGGAAACACAAATGTCTGAGTTCGTCAAGTGTTAGGGAGATTAAACTACTTTTTTTTTTTTTTTTTTGGTACTAGGGATTGAACCCAAGGGCACCTAACCACTGAGCCACATCCCCAACCCGTTTTAAATATTTTATTTAGAGACAGGATCTCACTAAGTTGCTTAGGGTCTCACTAAATTGCTAAGGCTGGTCTTGAACTCATGATCCTCCTGCCTCAGCCTCTAGAGCTGCTGGAATTACAGGTGTGTACCATTGCGCCCAAAGATTAAACTACTTTTTAAAAGAAATCTTTTCGCATCTCATTATTTACTTAGTGAACTTACTGCACTGATGTAGGTCAATATTTTTTTTTAAAGTTTTTGATATATACTGCTAATCTTCCCTCCAAATAAGCCAGAGTAAAATAACCTAAACACATGTTTACCAACTTATTTTCCTATTCACAAACTTTCATTGTTCCCTCATTGATTCAAGATGAAGTCCACAAATCCCTGCCAAATACACATTGCTCTGAGGATCAGAGAGGATCACTGAAATCTTTGGCCCTTATTTGTTTTTCAGTTTCATCTCTCATTACTGCCAAAAGTAATCCTTTAGTTTCGTGATTGGTAAACTTATTGCCCCTAGCATATATTATGATGTTTTTTCAAATCATCCCAAAGTATTTATAATGTCTTTCTAAGTCCTCTTTATTCGTGATTGGTAAACTTATTGCCCCTAGCATATATTATGATGTTTTTTCAAATCATCCCAAAGTATTTATAATGTCTTTCTAAGTCCTCTTTATCTTTTCCAATTTGATCTATACTTCTCTGACTGCTCATCTTGCCCTCACCCATTTCAGTTGTTGCATAGATACCTATTTATAGGGAATACTACAGAGCACCTTGAAAAGTTTTCCATAGACTACTTCTGCAACATATGTGCACAAATCTGTTCTCTACAAAGTGAAAGGATTAGTTTAGTTACAGAATTAAGAATTTGATACCACTTGGAATAACTGAGTTTGTTGTTTATGAAATAAAATTATATAATTAAAGGTTTTGAATTTTTAATTCCCATTATATTTCTTCAAGATTTTCTACCCATATCATAATAACTTAATGACTCCATTAAGTGGTTCTCCTAACATCTCTAATCTATTTTTATTTCTTTTTGCCAATTTAAAACATAAATACCACCAAAACTAATAACTAATGGATGTTAATTATTAAGAATAAATTTAGGGGCTTTTAAAAACTTATGTATTTTTTTCTCCATAGAAAAACCCATAGACAAAACAACATTTGTAAGATAGATAAATATAAACATTTGCACTTGAAAAATCCATAATAAGTAAATGCATAGTACAAAGAATGACAATTAAAATAAAGAAAAGCTGTTACCAATTCTGAAAAGCAGGTTTTCTAGCTCTGCGGTTTATTTTTTAAATGTAAAAACAAAAAGCAAAAACTCACGTTCCATTTGCTCAAACATTACTGAAAAGAGGAAGTCTCGTGGTGTCATATAATATTCTCCTTCATGTTCTAGTGAAGAAAACTGCATGAACCGCTGTTTACGAAGAGATAGTTTTTCTATTGCTCCACAGTCAACATTTTTCTAAAGGAAAAAAAAAAAAACTTTTAAGATTTTTTTTTTTTTTTTTAGTAAAAAGAAGTAATTCAGTTACTTCTAGAATAATCTTTACAGAGTAATTTTCATGTGTAGGTTTGACAACCCCCAAACCTTTAAATCATTCATTTAACAAATACTAAGTGCCTACTTTGTACTGTTTTAGGCACTGGAGGTAGAGCAGTGAACAGACTAATTTAAGGGAAGTTACATTACAGAAAGGGAGAATGACAGGGAATAAATGCAAAAAATAATGTTAAGATGGTGAAAAGTGATATGAATAAACAGAGAGGAAAAGTAGGTGTAAAGGTAATACTTTAGATAGAAGCTCTTTCTGAAGTGACGGACATTTAAAGAGGCTAAATGATGTGGGATTCGTGAATCATGAGTTTCATGGGTCTCTTTTGAGGGAGAACATTCTAAGCAAAAGTCCACGAGGTAGGCATATACTTGGTGTGCTCAAGGAATAGCAGGGGGACCAATGTTACCAGAGGAAAAAAGGGAGTGGCAAAAGGTAAGTTCAGAGAAATAGTAAGGCAACAGATCATGTAAAGTTGTGTTTTCATAAGGAAAAACTATATCATTTGTAATAAACAACTCTGCTTTCAGAAATACAAGGGAAAAATCATACACAGAAAATGCTAGAAGAACAAAGATGTATAAAATATTGTTAGTGTTAGAGTCTATCTGAGGCAACAGGACATAGATCTTGACCAACTGCTGAAAAGAACAACAATGAAATCTTTCTTGCTAACCTTTCATTGAGTACTTATTACGTGCTAGGCACTTTTACTAATTTAGCATTTTATACAGATTATTAGTTAATCTTCATAATAACTCTGACAATAGATGTATAGTAGATATGGAAACTGATACAGTAGATATAGCAGAGCCATGCTAAAATATCAGGTCTGTTTGACTCAAAGGGGTTTCAATCTCTTGAAGCACCACACTATCCTCCCAAACATGACTGGGCACTGTGGCTAGGCAGACTGGAGGAAGATGATACAGCAGTTAACATGGATACCAATGTCAGTGCAGGAATCCTGACACAAGAATGTATTATGAAATGTCTGTGAAATCCAAAAGCAGACTTTCATCATGGGTTGCTTTCCTAAGGCATTGCAATGCTTGCTCTTAATTGGACCACACATTCTTCCTGGACCTACTTCTCACACTTAGTACTAACCCTATGATCTACCCTGACACATGCAATGTTTAGTGATTGCTAATTAAATAAAATTGAGAAAAAGATGAATTTCAGTTGTGTAAAGCTCTTCAAATTCAAAGCCATCAACAGCTCCTTTTGGGCTGATCTAAGTCTTTTAATTAATATTAATTCTCTTCTGAATTAGACAATAGGTTGGCAGTCTTTTTTTAATACCTTTTTGCATTCTGTGAATACATATTCTCTACCAGGATACAGGACAAATACAGGTTATTTGGTAATATTGCAAAGATCTGTACCCAAATTCAAAATCTTTAGCCTTTGTTTCTTTTTCCCCTTAAATTTATTATAAAACGTCTAGAGGATGTGGCTCAGTGGTTAAGTGCCCCTGATCAATTCCCTGTTCCCTTGGGGGGAAAAATTCACTAGAAAACAACTAAAGAGGCATGTTTTAATTATAAGAGTCGATACTCATCCCAACAATTGGAAAACTGAATTTTATTAATATTTTCTGAATATTTTACACATGAGGCAGATATGTACATAGTAAAAATTGATATCTGCACAAAGAAACAGAAGATTGTATTTTAACAAACCATTATTAAGCATCTGCAGAATAACAATGGTAAATAAGACAAAAATTAATTCCTATGAGAAAGTACTTAGTGCTTTAGCAGTGAATTTACATAACGTATATGGCTAAGATAGTGAAGAAAGAGTGGATTAGAGTGTTTTCAGTAAAGGTCATAGAATGTGCAAAGTCCTAGATATTAGAAAAAATTAAAGAGGATGAACATGGGCATTATTATATGAACATTATTAGCTTAGAGACTGTTTATATTTATTATACTAATGTTAATATACAGTCTATTAAGAGATTAACAAAATTGAAAATCTATGCAGAAAAAGCATTCTCAAATTCTTAAAGGTTGGCTCTTATATACTTTCTAATGTTGAAGTTCAAGACTTAAAAAAAAAAAAACAACAAAAAAACAAGAACGGAATTCTTTCTGTATAAATAAATTCTTCTTTCCAAACCTCAACCAACTAAAGGGATCAACTACTCATTTGAGACCCCTCTTTTAGTGGTCTCATAACAAGATGAATCACTGACTCTGTTTTTTTTTTGTTGTTGTTGTTTGGTTTTCATGCGGTCCTCTACCTTGTACTAATCTTACTCTTTCCTGGTCTTAATATTCACCCCCACCAAGAAGTAAACACGCAAATCTCTCATCTCTCATTTTTGAAAAAAACCTAACATTAATTAATTAATTTAATGTAGTGCTGAAGATTGAACCCATGGGCAAGTGCTTTACCACTGAGCCACAACCCCAGTCCCCTCTCATTCTCTTAAACCAAGACATAAAAATTGTTTTCTTTCTTTTCAAAAATTAATATAAAGTAGATCAAAGAAGTTATCATAAAAGCTAAAAGTATAGAACTGAAGAAGAAAACAGGGGAAAGCTTTATGACACTGCATTAAAACATTTTAAAATTAATACATGTTAACTGTACATACTCACAGATATACCATTTTATTTAACAAATTTGCATTTCACATATGAATTCAGAGTACACTGATTGCATCCAGCCTCTCCCTGCCAGCACAATCTCCAGTAATCACTATTTTATCTTTAAGACAACTTTTTTTGGTTTCCATGAGAGAGAACACAAAGTCCTTGTCTTTCTGTGTCTGACTTACTTCATTTAACATAATGTTCTCTAGTTCTATCCATTTTGCTACAAATGACAAGATTTCATTTTTCTTTATAACTGAATACTACTCAATTATATGTATGTATATATACAGATGTATCTATCTATATATATGTGTATATAGATGTCACATATAAAAACTATTCTGAAAGAAATCCTTTTATTTCCTTCTAGAAGGTTTAGGCCCTAAAAATTCCTCTATCTCCTGTTATTTCCTATATGCCTATATGTAGACTATTTGTAACTCACTTAGGATTATATTCTTGAGGAGTCATGAAAAGAGTAAACTGTTCAGCAAAGTGTCATTTTATTGATTTAGATGATTGGGTGGTATGTCATCCTTTTCAGTTTCTTCTCTAGTGAACAAGAGAAGGTGGAGAAGGTGAAATTAAAGCTCTCTTTCACTGGTTAATTTCTAAGACGAATCCTGTCAGAATTGAAGACCATGAATTTGTAGTCTGCATCTACTATACCATTAGTAGATGGTATGGTATAAAACCTTAACTTCAACCCTTCTACCAGCACTCTCTCAATTCCATTTAATACGGCAGCTTTTAATTCCTCCTGCTCCCTGGTATAAACAAACCTTTTCTACTACCTTAAAACCTTCTGACTTTCATTGCCAGCACCAATAATACCTCACCTTTTCCTAATCCTCTCCACTGTTCCTCAAACTCTTATTACTGAATACAAAATAATCCCTCAGAGGTTATTACCATAGTTGATTTTAATCATACCACTTCCCTTATGAAATATGTAGTAGATGCCTCATGTCACCATACTACCTTTCCCTCTTTAACCTCCATCCTCAGTAGTAAAACATGTGTACTTAACTATTTACAAATTTCAGAACACTCTAGGCAGAGACAAAACATGAATTAAGGAGGCAATTGTATAGTAGTAAATACACACAGTAATAGGTAATGTTTATTAAGTATATAGTATACATAATACAAATTTCTAACAGCTGTATACAAATGTTCTCAATCTTCACAATGGCCCTAGGAGCAGACACTGTTTTTATCAACATCATTTTATAAAGATTATTAAGGTCAACTAGCTTGCCAGATTAACATAGCAAGTAACGACACCAAACCAAATGACAGAACAGGTAGTATAACATTAACCCCAGACTCATCCACTTCTTACCCTAGTGTTTCTAAGAAAGATGTAAATTCGAAAAATAGAAAAAGCAGTGTGGGTATTGACAGTTGAGGATGTTTTCGTGAAAATAGTAGGATTTAAGCTAGACTCTAGAGAATAAATAACAAAGAGTAGAACCAGAATTAGCTATTATTTAGGTCCTGGACTAAGTGTTGTCCATTTCCTAAACAGTATGCATTATTTCTCCCATACAAATTTAGGGTAAGTAGGATGTTCTGAATATGTTTCTTTGCCACCACAACAAAATTTATGTAGAGGAAAAAAGCATTGTTCTGAAATTAACAAAACCTTTCTAATTCCAGGCTGATGAACCAACATAATTTTATTTGGGTCATCTTTATCACACAGAACTTGAATTTTAAAAGTGTATATTAAAGGACAATAAGAATAGTCAATATGTATTTATATATTTATGCTTATCACATACCTATGGTTCATAGAATTTGGCAAATTAATTTGCCAATGATATTTAAAATCCTTTGTAGGCCTTATCTTGCTTTACTTCATTTTAATAACCATTTTTATCAAATCTTAGATATACTAGATGAATCTAATGGTCAAGAATGCAATAACCCTGATACTATTCCTTAAAGGAAAAAAAGATGCTGTATTATGTCATCTCTAGGAATGTATTGTAATAAAAACCAAGTCATTTTTGTCTAATTTTTCAAATAGACTGTAAACCCTTAGAGCATACATTACATTTTGGTTTCACCATACTGTGCTTTGCACACAATGGAGTGTAAGTGATACTAACATGGGATTTTAAGAGTTAAAAGGGACGAGATCATCTACTCAATAGCTCTAGGCAAAGGACCAGAAGTCAGTTGAGTTCCACTCTATGCTTGAGTTAACTAGTTTACAAGTGGCTATGTCCAAATGCTGCGAATTTATGGCACACAGTAATGAATGCAAAATTAAAAAGCATAGTTTACAACCA